CCATCATTGGTGGAGTTACGTTTGGTAGGAAAAGCATCTCTCCTGGTGATTGCTAAAACTTAATTTATAACCATCATTGGTGGAGTTACGTTTGGTAGGAAAAGCATCTCTCCTGGTGATTGCTAAAACTTAATTTAGGACCATCATTGGTGGAGTTACGTTTGGTAGGAAAAGCATCTCTCCTGGTAATTGCTAAAACTTAATTTAGGACCATTATTGGTGGAGTTACGTTTGGTAGGAAAAGCATCTCTCCTGGTGATTGATAAAACTTAATTTAGGACCATCATTGGTGGAGTTACGTTTGGTAGGAAAAGCATCTCTCCTGGTGATTGCTAAAACCTAATTTAGGACCATCATTGGTGGAGTTACGTTTGGTAGGAAAAGCATCTCACCTGGTGATTGCTAAAACTTAATTTAGGACCATTATTGGTGGAGTTACGTTTGGTAGGAAAAGCATCTCTCCTGGTGATTGCTAAAACTTAACTTAGGACCATCATTGGCGGAGTTACGTTTGGTAGGAAAAGCATCTCTCCTGGTGATTGCTAAAACTTAATTTAGGACCATCATTGGTGGAGTTACGTTTGGTAGGAAAAGCATATCTCCTGGTGATTGCTAAAACTTAATTTAGGACCATCATTGGTGGAGTTACGTTTGGTAGGAAAAGCATCTCTCCTGGTGATTGCTAAAACTTAATTTAGGACCATCATTGGTGGAGTTACGTTTGGTAGGAAAAGCATCTCTCCTGGTGATTGCTAAAACTTAATTTAGGACCATCATTGGTGGAGTTACGTTTGGTAGGAAAAGCATCTCTCCTGGTGATTGCTAAAATTTAATTTAGGACCATCATTGGTGGAGTTACGTTTCGTAGGAAAAGCATCTCTCCTGGTGATTGCTAAAACTTAATTTAGGACCATCATTGGTGGAGTTACGTTTGGTAGGAAAAGCATCTCTCCTGGTGATTGCTAAAACTTAATTTAGGACCATCATTGGTGGAGTTACGTTTGGTAGGAAAAGCATCTCTCCTGGTGATTGCTAAAACTTAATTTAGGACCATCATTGGTGGAGTTACGTTTGGTAGGAAAAGCATCTCTCCTGGTGATTGCGAAAACTTAATTTAAGACCATCATTGGTGGAGTTACGTTTGGTAGGAAAAGCATCTCTCCTGGTGATTGCTAAAACTTAATTTAGGACCATCATTGGTTGAGCTTTTTAGTCAAATTTCTCTGGAATTCATCAAGGATCCAAAGTATGCTCACTACATCTGACCTTTCCAGTAAAGCTTACCACTCTGCTCGAAGCATCCCTGTCTTCCCCTTTCCTAGCATGCTTTCAGAGTGGCAATAGTAGTGCAAGTAGAGAAGCAGTTATGAGAATTTAGCTTTGTGTGTATGTGTGTGTGTGTGTTAAATCACCAAGATTTGTATGCTGCAAAAGATCTTGATAATGATACCTTTGGTCAGAAAATAATGTTATGCATGGATAATGTCATAAATAAAGTAGAATAAGACTAAATCCTCTGAAATGTATCGTCCTAAAAATCTTAAGTGACAGGCTTGTTTTGCTTCAGGATTAGGTTCAAGTTCTGTTTACGAACGTCAGAATAATATGAGGAGCACCAGGGTAGGGAATAATATAGTAGTGACTAACATTGCTGTGGAAAAAATTGATAGCATACGAGAGTTAAGGCTTTGTGTCTCCATGTCCCTGGCAAAACTGTTTAAAAATTGTGCGACCTTTCATGTGAAATCTGGTTACAATATTTGTATTAAACTCACATTTCCAGTGTCATTACTTTGTGCTTTTTGGTTCAGCATTGAGTAATTCACGCCATTTTAAAGTGCTTCATCACTCTTCTGGTACTTCTGAATTTCAGAGCTACTTACAGTAACTGGTAAATGCTCACTTTGCATGTTCTCATACTTAACTTTATCTGTCATGGTTTAGGGCTGCTTCTAATTACTGCTGCTGTAATCGGATCACTTTTTTTCTTCCTGTCATCTAATAATATAATCTTTAGAATATTATTTACTTTTGATATCTATATTAATAAAAATGTTAATTTTCCGTGTTTGTTAAATATAGACTCGGACACTACTGAACCGATTGCTTCCAATTTTTCACACAACGTTGCCTTTGACAAAGCATGTTTTTTGGGGGTCATAAAATCGCACAAACCACGAACGACCTAGCTTCAGCAACGGTCGAATCATTATTTGTTCCATTTCTGCCCGGATTTGTTTATAGTTGATTGGCCACCTTTGACTGCTGAGCAGGGCTGCCAATAGATGCAATTTCCCCCAGGATCAAGCTCTAAAATGTATGTACCGATTGCTATCAAATTTTCACACAACATTGCCGTAGACTCCGCGCGTGTTTGTATGAAGGAGTTTTGCACAAACCACGAATGACGTAGCTCCAGCAACGATCATTTTATTAGTAGTTTCATTGCCGGCCAGGATTTGTTTTTAGTCGTTGGCCACCTTTGACTCTGTGTGTAACACCGAACTTCACTTTATTATATAATTTGATTTCTACTGAATGCTTGAATTGTTGTTAGCGTAGTTGGCTGTAAGCATTTCGCCTTTCACGCCATAGACGTTCGTTTCCCCCCTGGGTGAAATAATTTTTTGGGGCGCCCTAACTGGGTGGCTGCCACGTTTTGTTGTGGTTTATAGCTAGGCTGCTATATCTACGCCTTTTTTTCTGCTCGATTTTGGGGTTTACAGCTAGCCTGCGGTAGCGGCGATGTTCATGTCACGAGTTATATTCATTCGCCATTGAGAAGGCGGTTGTGTTGTGGTTTACATCTAGGCTGCGATATCTGACCTAAAGTCTTCAGTCTTCGGTAGTAGAGTTGTAAGTATTCCACCCTCCATGCGGATGACCAGTGATTGATTCCCCACTGGGTGCTAATTTTTTCCCCCTTAAGGTGCGGTTGGCACGATGTGTTGTGGTTTACATCTAGGTTGCGATATCTGCGCCTTACGCCCAAAGACATCAAATTTCAGTAAAGTCTAAATTATCCTTCCCCCGACGCTTCACTTGATCAAAAACTATTCGTTGATGACAAAAACTGTTAACTAAGACGGCTTTCAGTTCAGTTTGGTTTGGGTCGACACGGATGCCAAGGTTAATTAAAAATCGTCCCTTCGGAGAAGGCGAGATGACGGGTGCGGGTTTTTATTTCCGCTATTTGTGAGTATAGTGTACTTTTTTTTTTCAATCACGGAATATTACTGTGGTTTCCACCACTGGTCATTTTTTTGCGGGTGCCAGTTTATTGGTCAGTTAGAGGTATAGCAGTCAGCTTTACTTTTACCTGTTTAAGCTTAAAAGATGCTTTAGCCTCGATAAGCAAAATAATCTATTTTTTTTTCTCTCTCTAACAGTGCACCATATTCGACCACTAATATCGACAATCACTGATATGTTGCGTGTTCTATAATTGGCATATCAGAATATCTCTGTCGCTGTGCAATGACTGATATTACCCATATTAGACAGGTGTGCTTTCTATTTTCTTTCTTTTTCAATTTACCATTCTGGGCCACAGCAACGCGTGGCCGGGTACAGCTAGTATTACTTAGAATCAGTTCAGAGCAACGTGATGGAATTATAGCCAAAGTGATTTGTTTTCCACTGAATGGTGATTTTACAAACAAAAATGAAATTTTATATCTTTCAATATTTCCTTAAAATTTTCAACAGCTCACATGTTGTGTTGTGTGACATTGTATAATCTTACTAAAACTCCATGAATACTAGGGGTTATGACACATGTATGTCTCTCTACAAAAACTGTTTTACCACTTGCATTGTCTTTTTACAGTGTTAAAGACTTATGATCGTTTGTTGCCATGTTGGTATTCTGGATAGACACCTCGTGCACACAAGGTAGATTACTATACTCTTGAAATTACATACAAGTTTTACACAAGTTAGTCTCTTCACATAAGATTAGGGATTAGGCTCTGCTTGCTCACTTTCTGAATCTGAGTTTAAAGTTGCGTATGCAACACTAGTTTCTCTAAATGCTTTATTAAATCTGCATTGTTTTTTAACATGTTTGTAGTAATGGCATGATATACAATTTATGACGATTGTACTGTTGTAACTTGTAACTTTTGCGAGCAGTTAAATTCGTAATGACTTTCACTGTCAGGATTATAATCACAAATGAAATTAACCCCTCCCCCCCTCCATAACAAAAGCAATAAACACTAGTATAAAATGTCTTTATATCATACTTCTCTTTGGATTTCAACTGCCGCTAGAATTGACGTGATTTTGTCCTGATAGGCATTTGCTCCTATCTCGTGTAGTTGCACAAATTTCTATAAGCGTTGAGAAATAATTCTCAGACAATTGTTCAAAGTTTGCTGATGGAAATGGCTTATTTTGTCCTAAAAAGTTGGCATTGGTTTCTCACTAGCAAATCAACCAACAGTTAATAATCATTATTCGCTTTTGCTGCGTGGACCCATTTTCCATTCGTATTCCATTTGCGTAGTTCTTAAATGTATTCTTAACTGTTTTTATTAATCTGCACTTTGGCTGACAATCTTTCTTTTCTAATTTCAGGACTGCTATGATGGTTTTACTTGGTTGTAGACTGCCAAATTCTTGTGAGACACAAACCGTCTACCTTGCTGGTAGACTGGGAATAGCCAAAAACTACGGAAATCAAATTCCTAACATTGTTTGTCAAGTAAAATTTTCTAGGCCACAGTCATGTTGAAACTGTGCCACCCATTCTCTTTATTTATGGTGTGTTTCCCAACCCACCCCACCCCCGCCCCCGCCAATTAGTCAGCTGTAATACACAATTTATTTCCAGCCTCCATATTCAAATGTTTGTCATAATGTATCGAACAATCTTGTAAACATTGTTATTTGAATATGATGTTTGAAATAAATAGGAAATATTTATGCAGTGATAATATTTGAAGCATACAACAACTATGAAGTTTAATTTATTGGTATTATTTTGTTCTTTTCAGTCACCGAGTTGATTACTTCATTTCCAGCTTCACGAAATTCATAGCGGGCTCCCTGTTTATTGTAGGATGCCTCCTACTGTTGACAGCATTCAAGTATTCGACTAGCTCTCACGAAAAATTGACAAGATCCGGTGAGAGTCAAAGGTCTTTTGGAAACTTTACAGACACTCATCTCTCAACGAATATAAAGAATGGATTACAGAGTATTAGGACTGTAGAAACTAAAAATTCAAAATCTCCAAATATTGGTACCATTAAAACGTGGTATAAAGAGTACTTTCCAGACAATCACTTTGGTAAAAAAGTATCTATAATACTGGGCCTCTTTCGCAAGAAAGTGGCACTCCATGGTAGAAGCTTAATCAATCCTCACAATTTTAAGTATATTCACAACGTTCCAAATGCTTGCATAGGACGAAATATCGAACTGATAGCGGGTATACCAACTCGTGCCGATAGTTTTGATGCTCGACAGGCAATCAGAGAAACATGGGGACAGTACGGATCAGTTCCTGCAAATAATGCAGTTGTTCTTTTCTTCTTGGGTTCGAAGGAAGACGAAGCTCTCCAGGAAAAGATCAACTTTGAGGCCTTGAAATACGGTGATATCGTGCAAGAACATTTTATTGATTCCTATCGTAATCTGAGCCTTAAAACAGTTGCAATAATGAAATGGGTAAGCATTTATTGTGCTGACTCAACATTTGTACTAAAAGCTGACGACGATATGTACATTAACATACCCCGATTAGTAATGAGGCTCCGTGAACAACTGAAACGTGGACCAGTGTTTATTCTTGGTGCCGTCCATTATAATACAGAACCCTTTCGGGATCAGAAAAATAAATGGTTTGTAACCTTTGATGAATATCCAGCTAACATGTTCCCTAACTATATGTCTGGAACTGCATATGCAATGACGTCTACGGCTGCTATCAGATTATACGTGGAATCTCTCTATGTAAGGAATCTATTTCTAGAAGATGTCTATCTTACAGGTATTGTTGCTGACAAAGCAGCCGTCCCCAGAGTAAAGGAAGCCGACTTTACCTGGGGCAAATTTGATCCTGAGGGATGCAACTTCAAAAATAAAATAAGCGGACACAAAAACTCACCTGAAGAAATAAGAAAAATACACAGAGAATTATTTGATCCCAATTTAAGATGTCATTAGACGCGGCGTAAAAATAAAAATGGCCAAAATATTTACATTTTGTTTTCCTGATAATTTCTTTGCAGTTTTAATTGTAAGATTACACGTGAAATCCGAATCTAGTATACTTTGGCGCCCTTGTTTAGCCCATGATTTTCAGTCTAGGGGTGCCGTAACCTAAGGGGTGCAAGGAAGTTTCAAGGGTGTCAGAACATTTTGAAATTAGGTTCAAGTGCACGTGTAATAATCTAACACCTCCCCCTTCTCCCCTCCCCCTCCCAAAGTTAATATAAAATGTCATTTAAAAAAAATTTATATAAAAAAAAAAAAAAAAACAACTACAGAAATCCAAGAATTATTTTGTTTGTATGAGCAGTTTGTACATCTGTCATTAAAGATCTAATTAATAGAACAATACATGCAGTTGATTATAGTTTGAGAACACATACTGACATTAACGTATTTCCATATTTTTCCCCCCTTGTTAATGATTGCACTAATTGAAAGTGATCCCCATGTAGGATGCAATTTGTTTTTGAAGCCCAAACCCTGGCTTCTGTTGGGAGCTCTGAATATAGCCAGGGCATAGATATGGCCTAGTCATAGATATGGCCTAACGGCTGAAAGGGGTTTCTAGGACCTCTCCATGGTTAATCCTCATCCGCATGGTGGCACTTTATGTCACCGGGTGTTTATCGCTTGTCTAATGTCCTGGTGAGTTACAACTATCTACCTACCTAATGACTGCACATGCGCATTCCACATTTCTAAGTAAACATTTACTTCATTTGCATACATGTGGCGGTGCTATTTATGAAATTTGTTTCGAACTCTTCAATGGGGATCTATTTTAGTGACACAAATATAATATTTGAACAAAGAAGACACAAACAATAGACTGCACAATTTATTGCCTGGCATATTTCTCTGTATCTCGTCAGGTGCATACTACAGTAACAATTAATTAAAATAAAGCAAATAGCTATATCCTAGAAACTGAAACATAAATTCGAGTACATTTCAAACTGTTTCACCAAGGTAAGCGTAGGAAACGACCATTTCTTTTTGCCTACATAGATCCGGTTTTAATCGGCCAATCGCGGAAGCTTCCGCGTATCGAAGTAATCTACGGTTGGCCGAATTGTAAATAATTCGAAATGCGTCATCCCTGTTAATGATGTGCCCGGAATTTAGAATATGGCACGCAATTGCTGATGATGGATTATTTCGACCAGTCACCTGATTCGTTGTTGCTGAGGTGTTAGTGTTTTGCATTGCTTTTACCAACCATAGTGGAATATGTTCAGCAACCCGTTGCTCCAGTCGTCGATCAGTTCTGCCCACATATGCAGCGTTACATGTGCATTTAAATTGGCATATACAGTTAGATCTGGCGTACGTCGACACTGGTTCTTTTACTGAAGGCGTAGGAATCATGGTGGTTTTAAATCTCATTACAGGCATGGCTGCGTAAAAGGTTTGACCGACTGCTGTTTTGAGTCGGTCATATACACGTTGCATGACATCGTCTCCCCGAAACGTTAGATGTATATAGGCTAGTCTTTTTGGCATCGACATTTCTAAGGTGACTGGTTTAGGCGGCTGGCTATGACACTTAATAAAGCCACCTTGATATCCATTAGAAAGCAGTGTTTGTTTAATCGTTTCAAACTCAGCTTGTAGCGTGTCGATGGAACAAATCTTCCTAGCACGGTGGAATAATGTCCCCACTAGACCACGTTTGTATTGCATAGGTGCACAACTGTTGAAATGGATGTACTGGCCTGTCCAAGTGTCTTTACGATAAACTGACCTTTCAATTGTGCCATCATCTCTACGTCTAATTAAAATGTCTAAAAAGGCCAAATAGTTGTTACTTTCATGTTGTAGGGACACAGTGATGTTTTTGTGCATTTGGTTCATTTTGGTGTGAAACGACTCTGCCTGTTGTTTGCTTGTGGCGATGATAAGTATGTCATCCACGTAACGTCGGTGAAATACTAAACTATATACATTCAAAGACATCTGTTCCTTCAGATGTGCCATAAAGATGTCCGCTAGAATAGATCCTAGAGGGCTTCCCATGGCCACACCGTCAATCTGGCGGTAAGACTGTTTGAGAAAACTGAAATTGATGTTCGAAGTGCACAACAGTAAAAGTTCCTCAAGTTTTCAAATAGGTAAACCTACCTGCAGATTTTATTTTTTCTATACGGTCACATATAATTCTCACGGTTTCTTCCAAGGGCACGTTTGTAAATAGTGTTGCTACATCCATTGATGCCATGCATTTTTGATTTACATTCATTATGTCTAGTAATTCTGCCAGTTCAAATGAATCTCTGAGTATTTTGGGCTCAAATGATTATCGTTCTGGTTTTAGTAATTCCGCTAGCCATTTAGCTAAACCATGTTGAGCTAAGTTTATCATCGACAGGATATATAAATATAATAGCAATGTATGCGCCTTAGAAACAAGATTTTACAAAGATAACTGCATTTATTTTGGTTTTGCGGTGTAAGTCTGTGTGGGCAAGCAATTGCGATTTTAGGTGTGATACAATGAGACCCGTACTTTTGGAAAGGCGCTTAAGGTCAGAACATCTAGACTTAATAAATAAATTTGGACTTAATAATAATAATAATAATATATCGTCCCCATGTGGGATACAATGTTTTGTTATCTGAAGCCGCACCCTGGCTTTTGCTGAGGGCCCTGAATATAGCCGGGCCAAAAGTATCTCTTAAACAGGTGAAAGGGGTTTCTGGGACCTCTCCACGGGTAGTTCTTATCCGCATGGTGGAACTTTGTGTCACCGGGTGTTTATCGCTTGTGTGATGTCCTGGTGGGGTGCAGAGAGAGAGAGAGAGAGAGAGAGAAAGAGAGAGAGAGAGAGAGAGAGAGAGAGAGAGAGAGAGAGAGAGAGAGAGAGAGAGAGAGAGAGAGAGAGAGAGAATACACTTGCAGAATATTTTGCTAGTAAACTGAACTCACTGAAGCAGATAAAAATTGCATCCACCCTGTGCTTTCAGTCAATTTAATGCAAAGGGTATTGGAGCATCCTTTGAATTGGTCATACTAATAGCCAAAGACATGTGAGCATGCTAGAAAAAAAATTGGGGAGGAGAGGAGGGGTCAAAGTGTAGAGAAAAAAAGTAGACTTCTGTAGGGTTCTAATAACATTTGGTCAGGTGAGCAGGGTCTGGCCAGATCGGCACTGCAGAATTATAAGTGCGTAAGAGCTCATTGCCAAAGGGAGTGGACGACGCTTAGTCCTAGCAGCTCACCGCTTGCTTTTGAACAAGCTGTGCTCACATGTCGCGATTGTAACAGACTCACAAAGCATGTTAAGAAAAGTGAAGACAAGCGTGCTTCATACAGAGTGACAAGCATTGCTTCAGTGGTCACAGATGGATAGCGTTCTTTGGATTGTTTCTTCGAGGAATGCAGGAGTGTTAGAAAATGAACAGGCAGGTAGGTTGTAATAGACATTGTGGTGTTAGAAAGTGGAAGAATGGGCATTAGTTTGAGTAGTGGGAAGACAGAAGTAACGGTGGTATCAAAGAAACGAATTATTCTTAAATGTGTAATAAAGTCGATGGTTTTATTTTGGGACAAGTAAAGAAATTTGAGTATCTTGGCTCATATATAACATCAGATGGAAGATGCATAACTGAGATAAGAAACAGAATTGGACAGGCAAAAACTGCCTCTTATAAAAGGAAAAACATCTTGTGCAATATATCCTTGTCATTGATAGTTAGAAAAGAAATCTTGCTTGCTACAAACATCCAGTTTCAACAAATGGCTGTGAATCATGGACAATCGGTAGGCAAGCCAAACAATTTCGTTAGGCCTCAGAGATGTTGTTTTACAGAAGAATGCTTAGAATACCTTGGACAGCCAAAAAGAGCAACCAAGAGTTTTCGAAAGAGGCGGGAGCCAGAAGACAACTTATCACAGACATCAGAAGGAGACATTCATCATTTTTTTTTTTGCCATGTTATGAGAAGAGGGAAGATATTACATGTTGTTAAAGCTGGAAAGATCTCTGGAAGGAGGGAAAGAGGAAGACAACGAGAGAAGATGCTTGGCAGTCATGTTGCATGGCATGGAGGTGTGTCGGCACACGAACTGATACATGCTGCAGGAGATCGCAGATTGTGGAGAGGCATGATCGCCCACGAGATTCGGCAAAGCAACTGATGATCATGATGAGGTAGATTGGCTGGCAAATGTAGGCATGACAAATTAGCAGTGACTGAGATCCTTTGAAAGCAAGTGAACATACAGAGGCATGAATGGTTCATTACGGTCTGGAAAGAATGGTACAGCTGTGAATGAAAATGGAATTTGGTGGACATTCTACACTCAGCGGACAGGCAAGACGAACATAACATTAAACTGATACCATCGGAATTGGAACTCTTCTATGGCTGCTGAAGATGAGAGCGGAACGCTTATTGGAAATCCATAATACTGTGACGACACTTCTTCTTATTAGTTGCAAACATTGTTCTGGGTGATGCTATTTGTGAAAAAAAATTCAAAAACATCTCTTCCAGACAGCACAGTAAAGCGTAGCAAAAATGACTTTTCTGAATGCAAAAAAAAAAATAAAAAAAAAATTAAATCAAAAAGTGAAAATGTCATGTTTTCTTCAGTCAAGTGTGATTAAATCACTGTTCTGGTTTAGTGATGTCAAATATTAGTATATTTTCGATCTGTGTGTAGAGATAATTAAAAAAAAAAAAAAAAAATGCTTTTCTCCAAATGTTTACTTACAGACAGTATCAAAAGCTTTATATATATATATATATATATATATATATATATATATATATATATATATATATATATATATATATATATGTGTGTGTGTGTGTATGTGTGTGAGTGTATGTGTTTGTGTGTGTGTGTGTTTGTGTATGTGTGTGTGTTGCCATTATTAATTTTGTGTTAAAAAACATGGACTGTGGTGGGGAAACAATAGTGAGTGTTTTTACGGATGGTGCTGCTC